AAAGTAGCCCTTGACCAAGGGCAGTGCGAAGATATAAAAGCAAGATGCAAGTACCTCAGAAATCGGAGAACATAAAAATCCGAAAATCTTTCAACCATTTTTTGAAAACTGGGCGGGAACTCTCCCCCCCTTCGGTCTCGTCGACCCCCTCTTGATCTTCCCCTGGATCCAAGGGTGTGCCATGCAAATTTTGGCTGCTTTAGCTCTTACAGGGACTGAATGCACAGAGAACAAACAAACTTTCTTCTTTATATATATAGATATGTGTGTGTGCGTGCGTTCCTGTGTTTGTTTTAGCCTAATTTATCTACTTCAACTTCAGGGTGTATCTATATCCAGCTACTACTATAACAACCCGATCTAGTTAGTTATCTGATCTAGATGTATGAATAAGTTTGATATACGCACTCTTATTATAATAGAAGTTTCGAAGGATTTTCAGCCAAGTTTCGAAGCTATGGAATGTTGTTTTCAAATATTATGTTTTATTGTGCAATCTAAACGCATGTAAAATTAGAACAATTTTTAGGGGTTCTTCTACTAGATTCCTCTAAAAGCTGTTCTAATACGAATATTTCTCCTGTGAACAGTATTCTCTACGCATGTAAAATGTTTAGACTTTTCGTTTCATAAGCAACAAAAATATAGCTATTTCTCAACTCGAAGACCAGTTGTAGAAGTGTTCAACAGCGTCTTACTAAAATAACCTTAAAGGCACAGATGTGAGGAAAGTGATACTACGCGACTGAGACTCGAACTCAGGATCCTAAACGTGACGATGCTCTATCGTATGGTATGAGGTTATAATATTTGTTTTTCTTTATTAATGTCCGCAATCACATTTATATAGATATAGTTAACATTCTAATATTGAATGTAAATTTTTGTCCTAAATACATAATCCAAAAACAAAAATTTAATAAGAAATTATTCAACTGGAATAGCATGTTGTGGCTAAACATTTATTTTGCAGTTAACCTCATCAACAGAAAACCATAATAAGTATGAGTATATTAAAACTATTGACATACATATGCGTTTTCCACTTGGTTTAACTTTAGAATATTTTCAATAATATGTTAATACATGCAAATTTAACAAAAACATGCTATTCCAATTGAATGATTTCTTATTAAATTTTTGTTTTTGGATTACGCTTTTTGGACAAAAATTTGCATTCAATAATAGAATGTTAACTATATCCATATAAATGCGCTTGCGGACATCAATAAAGGAAAACAAATATTATAACCTCATACCGCTTTATTTCAGATAAATAATTTTGACTGTATTTAGATCTTAGGGTAAGATTTGATAGATGGCTATCTCAGATTTTTAATTTATGTTTCACTGATATATTCTTCATTCAAAACATGAGTGATCCTGAAAATTCGTAGTATTGAAATCCTTCCGTCTAGAAGCTATTGTGATCCCAAAATCGGCATTATTTCATACCTTCTTTAGCCTCTTAGTGTTTCGGTATTTTTTCTCCATAACCGAGAGAGCTGAACAAATACTTTTTATAAATGAAAAAAATTATTGTATGCGTTCAACAATGATTGTTTGAGATTTTTATTTAAAACAGAAGCTTTCGATTACAATTGTAGTCATCGTCCGCTACATTTAGACGAAAAACACACACAATATATGAGTGATTCTGGTGAATTTGCCACTGTTTCAGTGAAGTTGATGGTCTCAAGCCGTTCTCCCTTTAACCTTAATGAAACTCTTTCAAATGTTTTTCACATATTCCACGATATATGTGAACATGTTTTTGTTTTGTTTCTGATAGCATTTTGTTGTCTCTATTCATTTATACTATGATCTGTCTTTGCAGTTGCTTCTTTTTTGTAGCCGTTAATTTCAAATGCGTTCTTAAGAGAAGCCGGTGATCACCTGGGCACTCTAAAGTAAATATAGCAACGATTAGAATTATTTTATAAGAGAGAAATTTGAAAAATATCACTGAGTATCCCGCTACCACCTTTTTCCCATCACTATGATTTTCTTGTGCCTTCATAATCGGTTGCTTAAATGAATCTGAATTTTTAGTATAACGGTTTCAAAATATGGAGAATCGAATGGTATGCATAATTTTCTGTTTAGTAGTTTACAAATTGATTTTCTGGGAAACCTGGTTTTTGCAGAAGACTAGCCATATTTTGTGACGGATTCTGGACTCCAGATATATAAATCTAGCTTCTCTTCAGGGACTCAACTTAGTTTCATAGATAGTAAGATTTTACACTGAATATATATATATATATTACAATATTCTTTTTTTCTCTTCTCTTGTTTGAATGAAGTAGATATTTCTAAGAATGTCCTTTTCTATTCTCTTATCGAAAATAGTGAACATTACTCAGGACCGCAAATAACGGGAGAGTGAGTGAGGGTGCGCACCCTCCGAATAATGGAAAAAGCTGTCATTATTTTATCCATTATTCCTCGCACAAGATTTGTTTTTATTCAATTCAATTTCACACTGCTCCAGAGAGAAAGTTAGTTTAACATCCCCTAATGTTCGCCTCCTATTTGCGGCCGTGAAATTACTACGAAATATGCACATTGAGAGAAAGCCACTGTTCTTAAACGTGAAACTTAACTTAAAACAGAAAGTGATCATATGTTGACCAACCAAAAACACGTCGTCAAATTCGATCCATTATACCCCTTTTCTATTACCCATTTTCAGATGAAACCAAAATCGTACTTTGCAGCTACTTTTAAAATTCTTAAATCTCGGCGAGGGGCAAACACTGCATCAACGCTATCAAGGTCATCAAATTGGATAAAAATGATATGAGCAAATTGAGACTGGACTTAACGAATCTCGCCGTGGCCTGCCGCCTGAACTGTTGAGTCACAGCCGTGTCATACCATTTTCCTCACATCCCGGAACCGTAACTAAGAAGATGGCAATACGTTGATGTGTTCGCATTTTCGTGGAGTGATGTGACGGCTATGGCTTCATAGTTGAGACGGTAGAGCATCGGCATGTTTAAGATCCTGAGTTCGAGTCTCAGTCGCGTCGTACCATTTTCCTCCCATCGGTCGTTTTAAGGTTATTTTAGTAAGACACTATCGAACATTTCTACAACTGGTCTTCGAATTGAGAAGAAACTATATTTTTGCACAGAAGAGTTAAATGTGTAACTTATTGTGGTCACTCATTTACAATTTTAGGTCTTGAGCAATGATTTTCTTTTATAATCAAAAGTCATGTGTATTTGCGGGCTGTTTCCTGATATTCATGTAAGTGTTAAGGAGTAGTTGAGAGTATCATACATAAATATATATATATATATATGTGTGCGTCTCTTCCTGTGTTTGTTTTAGCCTAATTTATCTACTTCAACTTTAGGGTGTATCCGTATCCAGCTACTACTACTACAACGCGATCCAGTACTAGAGCAATAACACCGTCTACCACCAGAGCTAGTACAAGAGCAACAACACCATCTACAACCACAACTAGTACGAGAGCAACAACACCGTCTACAACCACAACTAGTACGAGAGCTGCAGCAACAAGTATGTAATAAGTTTATTAGCTTTCAGTAGTTGAAATTTGTTAGTTTTGATTAATTTCGCTGAATAATTACCATGTAATGGCTAATTTGCTAGCAAATATTCTTCTTAGAAGTAGTAGATCCTCACTGTTGATGTAAGAATCTCAAAAACTATGTCATTGAATTCCGTTAAAATCAGCTTTAGTTTGATATATAACAAATATGTGTACCTGTGATGGTTGAAGCTCTACCCTCCTTTCCCCGCCATGAAAAAACATTTTTGCTATCCCTGTAGTTATGAGTTTGTTATTTGGGTTGCAAGGAAAATACCATTTGATTTTTTAAGTTCAAGTTGTTAAAGTTGGCTTCAATGGTCAATTAGTATTTACACCATCTATAGTAAACGTAACTGTTGGTGATACAGTTCAATGGATCGATAATGATGCAACTAAGCCCCACACAGTTACACAAGGAGTTGATTCATCATGTGTTGCACAATCAAATGGTTTTGATTCAGGAAGATTACAAAATCCGTCAACTTATAACCATACATTTAATAAGACTGGAATATATTATTATTTCTGTACATTTCATTGTTCGGCTGGCATGAGTGGACGAGTAAATGTTGGTGATAGGTAAACAAGAAAGGGGTTGAAAACGGTTATAATTATATTTCATCTTATTTATTATTATATGGTAAGCTCGGTATTATTTTATTTTTAAAAATTATGGTGTTTTTCTTGTTAAAAATTACTTTTTTTGTAGAAAATAAACTGCTAAAAGTCTAGCCTATCAGCCAAAACTGCATTCTAGAAACGAAAGCTGAAACTGTCTCTGTTTCAGTCGTTTTTAGTCGCGAATCTCATCATAGAAACTTTGTACTGAAACTATGTTTAGAAATGAAAAATCGATAGGAAACATCGACAAAATACACTTCATCTAATAGAGCTTGAAGAGACGCGTCAAATCTTGTTGTCTTGTGTTGATATGACTTTATGGGAAAAAATAGTTTGCAAAAATGGCCTACTTTTTGTAAAAAAGGATTCTTTTTAGGAATTTTCCTGAGAATGTGCTTAGCATTTTGGAACATTTTATCCGCTAGTGATAAATGTTTCTCAGTGTTTACGTAAAGTAATGGCAAACGTTTGAGTACATGTAGTTGTTTGGCTTTCCATTTGACTACACGGCTATTCCATAAACCGTCTCTTCAGCGAATTGACTGTTGATGTCTGGGTACAGTATGAGAGTAAGTTAGAAAAAAACTCGTTCGCGGAAGAAGTTCTCAGAATAGTTGGATAATCATTACATTCTGATGATACATTTCAAAACCTTTTGCAACGGAAAGTATGCCAAATAAATTTTCCACCAACTTCTTTCAAACAGTAGACTAGCTCATAGTTGCAGGATTTCATATTCAGTTCCGAAGATAAGATCTTCTGCTTCAGAAAACTGTATACATTACAAACTGAAACTGGATTGTTAGCCTAATTCTCATTCTGCTCTTTTCAAAAATTAGTCATTACTTGAAAGTATTAGTTAACTTTTGTAATGAAGTTTTGGCAACTTTGGTATCTATATGAAAAAGCAGTCTAGTCTCAGTGATGCTTATTTCCGCTGAACATTCATATAAAACGTCTCTCAGTTATCGTATTATTCTAGGTAAATTATTAAAAAAACGTCAAAATTTGACTTTAAATCGCAGTTATACTCATTACCGGCCTCATTCCGCATTGTCTTTTCAAATAAGAATAAAATATGTACGCATCAAATGTACAGTTTTTGTACTTAGAGCAAAACATTTTCATTAACATCCCGTTAACTCGAGTGATTCGATCCAGCTCGGACCTTACGACCTCACTTCACATTCCGATTGGTTATCGATCGGCGGAGCTCACTGGTCATTGCAAGAAAATTGTTGTGAGCACAAAGAGCCATAGTTTTTCTTGAACCCAAGTGCTTGGTTCAAGAAGTGCAGAAAGTTATGGTCCATTTTCCAACTAACTTTGACTTAATCAGATCTTACCAAGGAAGTCAAACAATGAATACTTTTACATTAAAATATTGTAACCATTGGCGTAGCCAAGATTGGGCCATTGGACAATTGTCCACTGCTCCAAAAGTTATTGCTCACTAATTTCGGAGATAGTGTGAATTGTCTAATTCTATTGTCTAAAATTTGATGAACATGCGTGTTCGAAGACTTTAGTAATAAGTTTCTAATATATTGTCTCTTGTTGCGGTCTACTCAAGTGATCCAGTAAAATCACTGGACGGGCTTTTCCATTGAACCGATGGTCAGAATAATGACAATTAAAATGGTCTTTCTTGGTTCAAGCACTCGTTATTACACTTAAGGATCCCTCCTCTCCTCAGAAATTATCTCCGACACTTAAGAAGAATTTAAACGTAAAATAATGAAAATTGCTTAAATCATCCCGGCTATGAAAAAGAGATTGACGCAGCAAACTCGAAATTTTTCTTGTAAAAAAATTGAAGTACAAAATAGCCGTAGAAAATGAAGAAAATTCACATAAAAGCTAAACTATTTCACCCGTTTTATGATAACCTTGTCGTTCGTACCATGCAATTCGTGTATGTCGAACACTAATCACAGTTAAATATATCAGAGTGCCTTCATGGCCCTTGGCGAACTGTTCGACAGCTTGCAGTAGTTGTTTACTGATACCATTATTCTGATGATATCGAGAGATCTGCTTATGACATAGGCTGTCAGGCGAATAAAAACCGGTAGCCGGGAAATAGGCGCTATCCGGAAGAAAGTACGACAACTTTTGTTGCTAACAGAAAAACGCCTATTGTAACTTATCATTTTGCTCAAGTGATTTTCTACTCCTCATCGAAAAACTGCACGTTTGTTCTGGAAATTGTCCAGTTGAACATGAAAAGGTATGATGATATTATTGAAATCTTATCTTTCATTAAATTTTTTATTTCGATGAATTAATTCTGTACGGTCATATAATTTTGTCTGTAAATTACTTCAAGCTGGAGAGTTCAGGTTTGTTTTGTTTTAAGCCAGACACCTAACTACATCGTCTGACCGGCGCCGATTTCCAGTTAAGCCTTTATTGGTTTTCTAGACAATCAACAACCTTCAAAACCCGAAAAAGCCTTCCAGATTTTCTAAAAATCCTTAATTTGATAACAAACTGAAACCTAATTCAAAAGTCGACGCCTGTCAGACGATGTAGTTTCTTTTCCTCTTTTAAACAAAAAAAGAATAAACTCTCTATGACAAACCGCTATAAAAAATCTTGTAAAATACTTCAGGTGTAACTCTTATATAGAGAAAACGCGGTATGAAATACTCAATTTTAGAACTTCTAGGAAAATGCCTGTAACTTTTTGATCCAAAATCATACAGAATTGTGCGAGGTCTTATTTTGATTAGAAACGTTTGCTCTACAAATCTGTGTGTTTAGAAAAATTGTCATTGCATTAGTATCCACGAAAAAGCTATTATTGGAAGGCCCGGTTTTTTGAGGGCTTCAATAATGTGGAAGATGATAACATTCTCATTGTACATCGACGAAATTTGTTTGTTAGATGAAATGGTTTACTTGGAATAAATTTTAAACCTTTTGTTAACAAAGAAATTTGAGATGTTGATAAGTTAGTATTTCCAATTGCGTAGATAATTTCTGGAAGGTGAACTGGTTCTAAATCAGCTAAATTTTGATCAAATTTTAGTGGCTTATTTAAAATTGAATTTTGTCGATAATTTAGAGTTACTTCGTTAAATAGCTTAAATTCTAATGAAACGGAATTTTTATTCTTATTTATTGATAAGGATTGTAAATTGGAGTTATGGTTTGATTGTTGCTTATTGACGGTAGTGGCTGAATATATGGCTGTTGTTGTGGAACTTGCTTCACAGACGTTTGAGGATAGATTTGTTGTTGTTGTTGTTGTGGGTAATTTGGTAGTGATTGCATTAATGGTAGAATAAATGTCTGTGCATCTGCTTGAAGTTATCAGCTGTTATTGTTGTGGTTGGAAACGTACAGGTTGTTGATATTGAGCCTCGAAGTTTTTTGAATCAAATGCATTTTTATTTGAATTCCGAATAGCGTTTTTGATAATAATAATCATTGTAATTGCCAGAAAACCGTCGCTGTTGTACTTCTTATTGATCATTATTGTAAGACGAATTATTTCTGTTATTATAATAACGATTATTATTATAACGATATGAACGAGAATACGATGGAGAATAATAATATTGATTATCTTAATTATTATTGCTGTATTTATAATTATTGTTATAATGTGAATAATAGGCCAAAGAAAATGGACGACGATTACGATTTGAATAATAATTGTTATTAGCATAAATCGAATTTTTATTATTATTATTATTCACTTGTGAGTCAGATAAAGGATTTTTTGGTCGTAGTTGGAGAAGAAGTTTTTTTGTGTGTTGTTGATATTTGTTTTGGGAGAATAGGGTTCAGTATTGTTGATGTAGTTTCTTTCTGATTATTTCCTTTGAATTGAACGGTTTGCCTTTGTTTTTTATTTTTATTATTATTATTATTTGACTTTTGTTGCTGTTGTTGACGAGTTTTCAAAACTGATCATTTAGAATAAGAATTCGTTGGATTATAGTTGAAATTATTGACTTTAGGAAAGCTATCATCATTCTCATTATACTGTCGCTGTTATTGTGTTCGTGTCACATTTTTTTTAAGCAGTTTAATTGTGTGACGAATTATTTTACGCCAAGATCGTTCGGTGAATTGTTCTAAAAATTAAATCCATTAATTAATGCTGGCTTTCATCTAGAATTTTATTCCATTCTTTATTGAATTTATATGGGCCAGTGCCAATTGATGGATGTGGCATTGTCGAAAACGAAGATGGAAATGAATTTTTATTTTTATGTGAATGAAGAATTGCTAAATGATTTTCAAATCGTTTTTTCCGGTTAGGTTCGTTTCTGAATATAATTTCAGGTGGTAGATCATTTTTATTCATTTTATTGTTAGTTATTGTTAACGATGACACGGATGAAATTTGCGTTTGTTGTAATGAATGAATGAATTTAGAGAATTTTGTCATGTTGCCCTGTTCAGTATTGATTGTTGACATTTCAAACTATAGGCGTTCTTTGTTTAGATATGGACATTTAAATTTTAAATTTAAAACTTCAAATTGGTTTGAATCGGACGAATTTATTGGATCGGCATTCGTAGCAACGCAGTTAAATCTTCTTTATTCATTGTTAATTAAAATCATCGAGTAATACGTACATTTACATCGTGTTAATGATGATTCTAGTTCATGACGTTGTAGTAAAATATGATGAGTAGTTGTAGAAGGAGAAATAGTTGATGCAGAAGTAGCTGCAGCGTCAGTAGTTGAAGAATTTGTTATTAATGCTGTAAATGGATCAAGGATTCGAAATGGAATTGTACTTGAAGAACTTTTCAGTCGTTGAAGTCGTACTTGAAATTCACAGGATGAGCTAATACTATTAATATTATCAACCAATTTTTGATCTTCTTATTCATTCTCGTTATAAATTAAATCTTCCGATTGTTGTCGCGCATCATTCTCATTGTTTGTTGTTATTGATGGAGTCTTATTAAGATTAAAATGCGATATTGGTAATAATATATAACGAGTTGAGGATGGTGAAAGATTACCATTTATAGAACTGTGGCGTGATTGATTCGGACTAGATCTTCGAACAGTTTCGTATACTTTTTCCAAATTATACATGTCCTTGAAGCCTGCAGAAAGCTCTGTCGAATGGTATAAAATTAGGAGTAGATGAACACTAACTGAGCTCATAGGACAGCTGACACTTAACGCGCCGCTCTATCTACTGGCATACGACTCATTTGTGTTAAGTAACAAGTGCAAAATTTGCCAAAGTGCTAATTTTTTGAACCTTATCGACAATATAAATTTCATTCATCTGGTTTAAAGTCTTATGGGAGTAGAACTATAGTGCCTTCTCAAGTTTTAAAAAATTATGAGTACAGCATTGTTGAAAAACAAGTACAAACTACTTAATTAATTCTATTTTCAATAAAATAAAAAGATGGTCAAAACTTCAAAAATTAGCTCTAGTGTACTTTAAAAATGGCAGTGTCGGTTTTATTGCTCTGTCTCTTTGAACTCATACTTCTTCATTCTACTTTGCTTTCCTGTATTGCAAATAATAGAATGACACAAGTAAGAAAAGAAAAAGTTTTTATTTTATTTTTATAAGGAGGTAAATTTTATTGCGACATCATTTATTCCATTTTCAGAAGAAGACTAAACTCGCTACGAATTTAGTCCATGTTCTGCCAGCATCGGGAATCAAAATTCAAATTAAACAGTACCAATTTCCACTTTTTGTGCTGTGTTGAAGTGTACGTGCTGTACTATGTATTGATCTATTTTTCAGAAAAAGACCCCGTTTAGTTTTTGAACTATTAGACCGTCAATATCGCTGCTTAAGATTGCCAAAATCTATAGTTTCTATTCGACTATAAAAATTCGAGGCAAGAAATTTATAAGATATTCATAAGAAATCATAAGAATTTTCAAAAAGGGTTATTTTATCTACTAGAAAGTATGTAATAGAATTAGATGATTGAACTGAGCCAGTTTCATGCGATTTTGCAAAAAAAAAAACGAAAAACATACATGATGTGTATGTAGCAGGGATCGTAGTACGTCGGTAGAACGTGCGTACTATATCCTCACAATCTGACACTACAACCACTAGGTCACGTATCACTGTATTTAATATATTTATTTTAAGATGACATTGTGAAACAACATGTTCTTTGAAATCGCGCGATTAATAAATAAAGAAACTTCAGTCTCCACATTTCTTCAAAATCTAAGAAGAAGGCGTTAGAAAACGAAAAAGGATGAGCGACTGGAAAGTCGTTGCCATGCTCATTCTAAAATTTATATTATCTTTCAATGAGGTTTTTTCTTTGCTCCAGTAAACACATTTTCATTTTTCGAAGGTCCAAAACGAATGGTTTTGAATTGTTAGTTTATTACAGAACTGTATCTAATGCTGTCTTGCCGTTATAATACATCGCCACTAAACCGTTGTTTGCTCAAATTCTAACGGAAACCGACTCCGCTTAGAATCACATAATATATAAATAGTTTGTTCGCGTATAAAACTTCTCACAGTTACTTTTCTGGAGGGACCTAAAACCAACGTTTTCTTAAGATTACAAGGTAATCAGAACATTGAACGCTTTGATAGAACAAAGTCGATCATATCAGTGTCGCCCTGAAGCTCACTACTTAGTTAACAGTAGCTCATAGGGAATAGATAAAAAACAACAACTTTGGTTTTGATAATAGAGCAAACACTATTCCTCTGCCAATCATAAAGAGTTGAAAGATAACGACTCTTACTTATCTATGAAACCGACGATAGATGTTCATAGTTCAGTGTATTTTATCTTCGTCTTGATGATACCGCAATAAATGAACTATTTCGTTTTATTAATCATTCACTCAATTCTTTTATAACAAGTTTCGTATAAATTGGAGTTATATTGTTCTACCATGGCAACAACAAAATATATTCTAGGATCAAAAATAAATAAATTTATTATTGTTTCTGCTACATCGAACAGAAATAAATTATTTCTCTTATAAGTTTTGTCTGTTTTTATCCTATAAATGTGTTTAAGTTCACAGATCTTTCATTTTTATTCTTGTTTATTTCTTGTCGTCATCGATGATGTGACTAGTGCAAATTTTGGTGATCACGTCAGATCGCACTATGGATTACGCACAAGATGGGATGATTATCTACGTTTACGTCCAGCACAATATCCTAACAGGATTGAACTACCACGTTATATTCAACGATTGCCCATCGATTACTTGGAACCAATGCACAGACCCGCTCCATCCACACCAAACCGATACAATGATGTCGGTCAATTGTTTGCACGAGACCATGTTCGAGGAACATCACCAATATATCCCATCCGCCATGTAGATGATTGTATGTACTTACGCTTTTTTGTTTACTTGAACATATAAAATTGTTAACGTTTCAGATTTGACCGGAGCGCCTGATCGTCACCCACCGAGAAAACCCACTCGTCATGAAGATATGGAAGCTATTCTACAAACACAATACCATCGCGGCATAATACCAATGTATCCGATTCGTGAAATACATGATTATTTAGCAGGTGCACCAAATCGTATAAAGCCTTCACCTCAAAAAACTAGATTTGAATTGATGAACGAAAAACGTGGACACGGTTATCGACCGGCGCCCCAAGCACCGATACCAACACATCGTTTCGGAATCGGTTATTAAAATAGACTTACAGTTTCTAAAAACTAATACTATGTTGTTAAATTATCCTGTGTGCCGCTTTCCATCGATCCAGAATAATGTATCAATACCTTCCGAGACTTTTTTTTTAAAAGAGATAATTGTCAACCTTTACTGTCGGTAATAAAATCGATTTTTTTTTCCAAACGAAAAACTTGTTTTTTATCGGAGAAAGTAGCATTTTATTTCCATTTGTGCGCGATAATCTAGATTATCTGGATGGTTTAATAGAATTATATTTATGTAATTCAGTGTAAAGAAAAATTATCCGCATATTTATTATACGAAGATCAGGACTTCGCGGCAAAAATTCACGTAGGATGAATTAACCATATTTTAATAAGATATAAAAAAAACTAACTATTGAACAAACAGACATAGTAGAGCCTTCACGTATAGCAAATTTTAATGCGGTGCATATGCCGACATTCAAATGCATTTGTTATGATAGAACGAAAATTGTATACGCTAAGGCTCTAGTATGATCAATAAAGTGTTAACAGATTTTCTTATATTAAACACAACAGAAATTAAGATAAAAATATTTTAATTCACTCTGTATCCAAAAATCCGTAAAAACTTTGTAGAGTTACACATTTTTTGTGGCATCGTCGACATGACGTTTCGTTTTGAAAAAAGAGTTCACCGCTTGTTTTTTTTCGTACTTTCATTAACTAGTTCTTTTAAGCAGAAAAGCCCCTCAAAAAAATCGATTTGGATATTTATGCATAGTTGTACAGCCCAATATATCTGCTTTCGAATGCACTATGATTTATTGGTTTTACGATGGTTTTTGAGGGTTTTACAGCGGTTTTTCTGAGGCACCCAACATCAAAAACTGATTGATTTTTTATGGTTTTGCCGTGGGAATAACGCTCACATATGGGAAAAAGTACATCGCACATGTCTCTACATGTGCTCATTCGATTCGCCATAGCCGATAACCTACGACGAACTGCTCTCAGACTTTTCTCTGTACCACTTTCCAAAAAAAACCGCGATAATCAAAGGAGAAACTTGTTTTGCGTTTTTCTCGAAACTGGTTTTTTTGTTTTACCTGATTGTGCGTCAA